CCCTCGCCTTCTCCCAGAGGGATGGGCTTCAGCTCTCCGCTGCAGGATCCCCACCATTTCCCCCCCTCCACCCCCGCCCTGTGTTTTCTGCAGGGGGGGCGAGAGAGAGAGAGAGACCCCTAAAATATCGGGGGGGGGCCTGACCAGGTGTTCCTCCTCCTTTCCCTTCTTAGTGTGAAAACTCCTAGAATAGATCCTGGTCCGTTTCTCCTCCTCCATCCCGACCACAAAGGGCAAGCAGACACCAGGGCTGGACATCCTCTCCCCACCAGGTATTGGAAAGGACCCTTTGGGGGGGGTCCCGGGGGGGGGGTCCGAGAAGACAAGCGATGGGCAGAAGGTGGTTGTAATCGAGTCCGTCCCTGAGAGAAACATAAAGCACTTTGAGAAATACACCTGTTCAAAAGCAAAACAAACGTATTAGGGCACCTTTTGAACCCTAACTGGCTGGAGGGCTCAGGGCTTTACGGCTCTGGCTGTGGAGGCAATCAATGGGGTGGCCGTTCGGTTCCCTTCTGGGCATCTCGGAGGAACCAGCTTGGGTGGCTTTGGGCAAGCTGCGCAGGCCTGGGATGCCCCCAGAAGAAGGGAACGTCCTGAGCCACGTCCTGAGCATCCTCTACCTGGAAAGCCATGAAAAGGGTGGCCGTAAGTCAGCCTAGGCGGCCACGGAGACCCGTGCCTTCCTTTCCGTACTGGCTTTCAGGTGTGAGCAGCCCACACTTCTTGTGAACGTGGCCTTTTCTGCCCCCACCCGCTTTCACAACAAGGCGCCTGGGGCCTCCTCCTGCCTTTTGCCCGAGGGCCGTGGCGCGTGTGCTGCATCTCAGCCGGCTCGATTGGAGACTGGCCACCTTTTCCCTTCTCTCCCCCCCCCCCCCCAGTAAGATCGGTCATGGAAGCGGAAAATGAAGTGGAGAGCAGCAGCGACGCGGCTCCTCGGCTGGGGCAGCAAGAAGAGCCCTCGGAGAGCGGCCTGGGCGCGGAGACCTCGGAGGCCGTCTCTGCCGACAGCAGCGATGCCGCCTTGCTGCCCGTCTCCCTCTCGGAAGCAGACGACTCGGGCGTCGGGCAGAGCTCAGACAGCAGAGGGGTCTCCCTGGTATGAGGCTCTGGCTCTTGTAGGCCACTTGCGGGCGTGGCTGGCGGGCAAGGACAGCAGGCCCGGCCAGAGTGGGGGCGTTGGGGGGCGGGTGGCAACGGAACTGGCCGGGAGCTGCCCTTGACCCTTTAATTAACAACCACCCCTGGAAAGAAATG